ACTCACCTCAGCCTCCCAAGGCATGGGATTACAGGCTGAGCCACCGAGCCCAGCTAACATGAAATATCTTAAAGGAGTTTTTATTATATTAGCATTAAAGAAGGACTTATTTAAAAAAAAACAAGAAATGCAGTAGAGTATAAAAGGACACCCCCTCCCAGGACTGTGGTGAGGCCAAGTGGGGGCCCCTCACGCAAGTGAGCGCCTGCTGTCTGGGCCTGCAGCATGGGAACCAGGCCCATTCTCCCTGTTGTGCAGACAGCAACGCCTAGACTGGAGAGGGCCCACCAGGACCACTGCCGGTGGGCTTGGGACCCCGCTACCTGTCTCCCGGAGCCCCAGCCTGCCGGGCGCCCAGGCCCTTCTCAGCCCTGTTCCCCCCCAGGTTCATCCTCGATGACTCTGCCTTGTACCTGTCCGACAAGTGCGAGGTGGAGACCCTGGATCTTCGGCGAGGTGGGCAGGCCCGGCCTGGGCTTCCCTTCCCACCACAGCCCCCAGCCGCGCCCAGAGCAGCCAGTTGTTCTCACCAGGCTGCTGGCCAGGTTCTCGGCTCCCACAGGGCATGCACAGTGGGTGCTATACCCACGCAAACTTGACCCTTTCCTCTGGGGTGGGTCAGGGGCCTGGTAGGGGGAGACCATAGGATGTTTCGCTCTCTGCTTCAGATTATGTCTGTGTCTTGGACGTCGACCTCCTGGAGCTTGTGATCAAAACCTGGAAAGGGAGCATCGAGGGCAAACTGGTGAGTGTGGCTGTCCCCTAGGGTCCCCAGAGCAGGTGCAGGGGCCCAGGGTACCTCTGGGGTCCCATCCCCCACACATATCCTGGCCATCGTCTGTGCCTGCCCTTCCCTTGCTGGGCTGCACTTAGGCCTCTCCCGGAAAGGGCCAGGCCCACCAGGGGTATCCCTAGATGCTTGCTGAATGAGTGAATGAATGAACGGGTTTCAGCCTTGCCACCAGAGGGAGCTGCGGTCAAGGCAAAGGCAGGGCCTCAGGGGTCAGGTGGCCTTTGTGGGTCCCCAGTTTCTCATCTATATAACGGAGACGACAGGCCCCACCTCACTGGCTGAAGGGAGGGTCACAGGAGTCCTTTGCGTGTGGGAGTGGGGTAGTGGGCACACTCCTGCTTTCTTTTCATTATTTTTTATTTTTTCGTGAGTCAGAGTCTCGCTCTGTTGCCCAGGCTGGGGTGCAGTGGCACGCTACTCCCGGCCACCGCAGCCTCGACCTGCTGGGCTCAGGCAATCCTTCCGCCTCAGCCTTCTAAGTAG